CCAGAAGCATGGAGGGTTGTCAACATTGCCCCAGAAGCATGGAGGGTTGTCATCATTGTCCCAGAAGCATGGAGGGTTGTCATCATTGTCCCAGAAGCATGGAGGGTTGTCAACATGGTCCCAGAAGCATGGAGGGTTGTCAACATTGTCCCAGAAGCATGGAAGGTTGTCAGCATGGTCCCAGAAGCATGGAGGGTTGTCAACATTGCCCCAGAAGCATGGAGGGTTGTCAACGTTGTCCCAGAAGCATGGAGGGTTGTCAGCATTGTCCCAGAAGCATGGAGGGTTGTCAACATTGTCCCAGAAGCATGGAGGGTTGTCAGCATTGCTCCAGAAGCATGGAAGGTTGTCAGCATTGTCCCAGAAGCATGGAGGGTTGTCAGCATTATCCCAGAAGCATGGAAGGTTGTCAGCATTGTCCCAGAAGCATGGAGGGTTGTCAGCATTGCCCCAGAAGCATGGAAGGTTGTCAGCATTGTCCCAGAAGCATGGAGGGTTGTCAGCATTGTCCCAGAAGCATGGAGGGTTGTCAACATTGTCCCAGAAGCATGGGGGGTTGTCAGCATTGCTCCAGAAGCATGGAAGGTTGTCAGCACTGTCCCAGAAGCATGGAGGGTTGTCAGCATTGTCCCAGAAGCATGGAGGGTTGTCAGCATTGCCCCAGAAGCATGGAAGGTTGTCAGCATTGCCCCAGAAGCATGGAGGGTTGTCAGCATTGCCCCAGAAGCATGGAAGGTTTTCAGCATTGCCCCAGAAGCATGGAAGGTTGTCAACATTGTCCCAGAAGCATGGAGGGTTGTCAACATTGTCCCAGAAGCATGGATGGTTGTCAGCATTGTCCCAGAAGCATGGAAGGTTGTCAGCATTCCCCCAGAAGCATGGAAGGTTGTCAGCATTGTCCCAGAAGCATGGAGGGTTGTCAACATTGTTCCAGAAGGATGGAGGGTTGTCAGCATTGTCCCAGAAGCATGGAAGGTTGTCAGCATTGTCCCAGAAGCATGGAAGGTTGTCAACATTGCCCCAGAAGCATGGAAGGTTGTCAAGATTGCCCCAGAAGCATGGAGGGTTGTCATCATTGCCCCAGAAGCATGTTGGTATTATGCCATCTAAAATTTGTGGAGATATCACCAACTTAGAGCCACGTCACAATAAACTTAACATCAACTGAGGCGAATCTATTAGAGTCCATAATATTAAACCTTATTGTGTTTAATTATGCTCCGAGGAGCATAGTTAAAGACCCAGCATGGGTTAACCAGAGGCCACTTGCACCTGGCAAAGTTGTCACTCACTTAAGGTGCTTATGAAGTGGTAGTTGACTGAGCGGTGTTTATACAAGGACATCACAATGATGTGATATATCTATGAGAGAATATGTCGAGTAGGACGGGGATCGAACCGTTGTACATGGGGTTAAGGTGCGTGTCTGAGGCTACCCAGGACGCTGATTCGATCCCAGTCTTGCTCCAAAGACATTCTCAAAGTTTACTTTATTATTTGTTTATTTATTATTAGTTAATAATTATTTTCTGTTAATTATTTTAGCGTTTAAGCAAATTTGTGGATAGTAATGAAAAAATTATTTATTCAAGTAATTTTGAAACTACTGAAAGTTTTTAATTTGCTTCAGATTTGGAAAAGGGACAACAGTGGGAGTTCTTTCTGGTCAGGGATATATGTGAAGGCTTGACAAAGATAGTGACATACGCTATTAACTCAGTAATGTTGATATTATTAAACTCGACTGTAAATGGGATCATCTCATACATATTAATAATGACCTAAAGTTAGAACGGTAGTCGCAGGAATATTAATACAGTACATCATCACTGTGTTGTAGCGAGACATCGCGTGGATGTTACTGTTCAACATGTCTACACTTGCGAGCGTCTTACAGAACAAATACATTCTCTAGAATACTTACAGAAAAAAATATAAGTTATTTACCATTAAAGTTGTTAAGTAAATTACCAGATTACGTTTCCATAAAAGACATTACATGAGATGTAATATAAGTGTTCAGCGGATGAAAGACTTTGTAAATCAGCACATAAATAATGTGTTGAAAATATCAAAGCAACACGCAAAAGTGGTTTGGAATTATGAGATGTAGACTTACAAGAGGACACCACCTTTGGATACGGGTAAGTGGAAGAGTCTGCTAGGTAGAGCCACTCCATCAAATTATAAATTCCTTATTAAGACTACTCATAGCCAAGTCGACAGAGCTTCGGCCTCACACGGGTGGAGTCCAGGGATCGAGACTCCTACAACCCAGGTGAATAGAATGGAGCAAATTCTTTGCTGTGTCTTAAGCAGAGGCTGGACACATACACAAGGTGGAAATTGCATGAAAATCAGCCCAAACTCTGACAGAGGACGAGGATAGGTACCCGGCGGACGGCCAGCCCCATCCTCACAAGGGGTGAGGATAGGTACCTGGCGGCCGGCCCTCATCCTCACAAGAGGTGAGGATAGGTGCCCGGCGGACGGCCCCCATCCTCACAAGGGGTGAGAATAGGTACCCGGCCCCCATCCTCACAAGGGGTGAGGATAGGTACCCGGCCCCCATCCTCACAAGGGGCGAGGATAGGTACCAGACGGACGGCCCCCATCCTCACAAGGGGCGAGGATAGGTGCCCGGCGGCCGGCCCCCATCCACGCACTTTCCCGTCCTCATCATTTTTCTACCATTTTCCTCCAGCAATCTGGTGGGAGTGCTGAGTGGCTGCGTGGAGCGACCGGTTGTTTGGGGGGAGAGGCGAGAGCAGTTGATGACGCGGCTGCTCGGCTCCACCACCAGACAAATAGCGATGACCGCTAGGAATGCCGCGCCCGACTGCTTACCCTAGCGTGAGGCCACTAGCGTGAAGCGCTGGAGTTTAGCACGTGTCAATTATCACTGACATGTTTCTAGCGGTGGTCCTCGCTGGCCTGGCCGCTTCCTGCACCACTTTCTGAAGCGTTTAATTTAATGCTTGGACGGTTGCAGGCGCTGAAGGATTGCGCCTGTAATGTGAAGAATTAACTGTTGGCACCGAGATAATAACACGATCTTGTGCGGTTGACCGCTAAGTCACGGGTTGGTGAGGGAGTGACGTGGTGAGGTAGTGGTGAGGGAGTGACGTGGTGAGGTAGTGACGTGGTGAGGTAGTGACGTGGTGAGGCAGTGACTTGTTGAGGGAGTGACGTGGTGAGGCGGTGACGTGGTGAGGCAGTGACGTGGTGAGGTAGTGACGTGGTAAGGCAGTGACGTGGTGAGGTAGTGACGTGGTGAGGCAGTGACGTGATGAATGACATTTTACTGTACTCGTACCTGGACTTTAGGCTGTGGGTGGAGGTGGCTTCCACCACTTCTCCTCTCAGTGTATTGTACTTCTTGACAACCCGTAGAGAGCACCAGATTTTCCCTTGCAATTTTCCCCTCATTTTCGTTTCCATCTCCCACCTGTGTCCCCTTGATTTATTTTCTCAAAATTTCAAGTATTATCCTTGTTAAATTTAAATTTTTTTTAAATTTTGCCCCGAGGGGCGAGTTTATTGGGCAGCGCCACTCATCTTGTGAGTGAACATACCGCCATAGCAGAATGTACAACACTCCCCAATAGGAAGAAAACCCGCTGGGTTGTTCATCCTGTCACTTGTACCCAGACACAGCTGGGACTTGCTTAACTGTCTCAAGTGAACAGCTCCTCAAACAAGAAGATTAACATTTATCAACCCTTAAAAGCTTACGTTATCTTGCGGGTGCAAAATGGGGAAATCTTTTAAGAACAGTATCAATATTTGACAAATAGTGTTTTCCTAACTTGTTAAAGTTTTCATGTTTTAAGTATTTTGGAAGTATTGAACATTTTCCCACTATTTCTGCTTTAATCTTAGGTTGTGAAAGTGAGTTCCCTTCATTTTTCATTGTTTTTCAGCTTCCTTTTATTCAAGCATTAGTTTTATTGCAGATGTCAGCACCTTTTCAAGTTCATTTTTGGCTTCAGGAGGTGTGGAGTCCACATTATTGCTAGATATGCCAGTAATAGCCTCCTTACCTTGAGGTTACCTTGAGGTGCTTCCAGGGCTTAGCGTCCCTGCGGCCCGGTCGTCGACCAGGCCTCCTGGTTGCTGGACTGATCAACCAGGCTGTTAGACACCGCTGCTCGCAGCCTGACGTATGAGTCACAGCTTGGTTGATCAGGTATCCTTTGGAGGTGCTTATCCAGTTCTCTCTTGAACACTGTGAGGGGTCGGCCAGTTATGTCCCTTATGTGTAGTGGAAGCGTGTTGAACAGTCTCGGGCCTCTGATGTTGATAGTTCTCTCTTGAACACTGTGAGGGGTCGGTCAGTTATGTCCCTTATGTGTAATGGAAGCGTGTTGAACAGTCACGGGCCTCTGATGTTGATAGTTCTCTCTCAGAGTACCTGTTGCCTCACACACACATTGCAAATAGTGTCTTCAAAGTGCTCTTATTTATGGGGGTTTAAATTCCATTTTACTTCAAGGCAGCTGTCATTGTTATTCTGTGTACTTGTGCTTCTGGTGTTGGAATTTTATCCAGTTCCAAGACTTTTTCCTCTCTCATTTTCCTAATTTATTTTCCTGTTCGTTACTTGAGTTTGTCAAGGCTTTCCTGAAAGTCTCAGCATTTTCAACAGCCGTTGAACTATACCAACTCCCTCCCTCGCTAGGGCATTCCTATATATTGAGAACTGTGGTACTCTTGGGACCCAGCCCCAGGGGTACCACACCTGCCACGGCCCTCCTGCTCCACACATGCCACGGCCCTCCTGCTCCACACCTGCCACGGCCCTCCTGCTCCACACCTGCCACGGCCCTCCTGCTCCACACCTGCCACGGCCCTCCTGCTCCACACATACTACGGCCCTCCTGCTCCACACCTGCCACGGCCCTCCTGCTCCACACCTGCCACGGCCCTCCTGCTCCACACCTGCCACGGCCCTCCTGCTCCACACATACTACGGCCCTCCTGCTCCACACCTGCCACGGCCCTCCTGCTCCACACCTGCCACGGCCCTCCTGCTCCACACCTGCCACGGCCCTCCTGCTCCACACATACTACGGCCCTCCTGCTCCACACCTGCCACGGCCCTCCTGCTCCACACCTGCCACGGCCCTCCTGCTCCACGCCTGCCACGGCCCTCCTGCTCCACACATACCACGGCCCTCCTGCTCCACACCTGCCACGGCCCTCCTGCTCCACACATACTACGGCCCTCCTGCTCCACACCTGCCACGGCCCTCCTGCTCCACACCTGCCACGGCCCTCCTGCTCCACACCTGCCACGGCCCTCCTGCTCCACACATACTACGGCCCTCCTGCTCCACACCTGCCACGGCCCTCCTGCTCCACACCTGCCACGGCCCTCCTGCTCCACGCCTGCCACGGCCCTCCTGCTCCACACATACCACGGCCCTCCTGCTCCACACCTGTCACGACCCTCCTGCTCCATACATACCACGGCCCTCCTGCTCCACACCTGCCACGGCCCTCCTGCTCCACACCTTCCCCGTGACCAACCCTTGGTTTCCGGTCACGGAGCTCGACAATCCGTGGTCAAGCGAGGTGGAGACCGTTATTGAGGTGGGGAAGGGCTTTGAAGCGGTTAAGAATAAGGAAATAAGGCGTTAATGAGGGGGAATTAAGACATGAGGCGTTGACAGTACGATAACAAAAGAGGGAACCATGAAGTAGTGGATAATAAAGAGGGAGAGACAGCGACGCGACGAGACAATGATGCAATGGTGTCGAAGTTCCTATTGTTGCAAGTCAATTGAGCGAGGGCGCCTTCTCCTTGGCCCGCCCGGGCTCGTTATCGGTTACTTTTCGTGTGTTTGTGTTGGTTTGAACTTCAATTTAACCGTGTTGTGAGGGCAGGTGTTGTGAGGGCGTACAGGCGTTGTGAGGGCGTACAGGTGTTGTGAGGGCGTACAGGTGTTGTGAGGGCGTACAGGTGTTGGGAGGACGTACAGGTGTTGTGAGGGCAGGTGTTGTGAGGGCGTACAGGTGTTGTGAGGGCAGGTGTTGTGAGGGCAGGTGTTGTGAGGGCGTCAGGTTAGTGCCCACTGTCTCTCAAGACCACACGGAGTGTTAACGATTACTCTCGCCTCCGTTAGTGGCTTTGTTTTAGTGCCAACGTGTGGCAGCGTTACTGGTGCCTGTGGCAGCGTTACTGGTGTCTGTGGCAGCGTGAGGCATCCTCTATTGCCACCACCAACATACCAGCCTCTACTGCCACCACCAACATACCAGCCCCTACTACCACCACCATCATGCCAGCCTCTACTACCACCACCAACATACCATCCTCTACTGCCACCACCAACATACCAGCCCCTACTACCACGACCATCATACCAGCCCCTACTACCACCACCAACATACCAGCCTCTACTGCCACCACCAACAGCCTTCCATATTCTGCCACCATAAAGAGTAAGGAAGAAGCATAGGGACCACCTGGGTACATACACCAATAAGGCCAGAAGTGAGTGCAGCTGTATTAGGGGAACAGGGCAGTGGTCTGAGAACGCCACAGCGACAATAACAAAGACCAACCTAAGCTGTTGCATTCCCAAATACAGCAGGAAATTGAGGAAAACTCCAGTAGGAGGACGTGTGATGAAGCTGTTTTTTTGAAGGAGGAACACGGCTGGAGAATGTCAAAGAAGTGTGTTAAGAACTCAACAAGATGTTCCTGGTGGTTTTCAAACAGGAACGACATTAGTGTCCACTGAGAGCTGAAAACAGACAGAGAACCAACACTAGATAGATTCCATGTTACTGTAGAAGAGATAAAAAGAAACACCTGGAGGAATTAGATATAATATAAGGAGCGAGACAAGAGAAGATTTGTTGACTGAAGGAAGTTGCATGAATTCTGTGTTTCCCATTATTTGGAGCTTTATATATAACACTAAAGACAGCTGGAAAAAGGCAAATGTAGTTCTATTATACAAGAACTGAGAACCACGAAGCAATACACTATAGATAACTGTAACTAACATACATACCAAGACGAAACAAATGGATAAGGTCACCAGGAAATGGATTAAGAATTGGAGAATATTTGGGGCGAGTGAATTTTGCCACTGAGTCACCACACGGATTGGGGGAGGAGGAAATCATGCTTTTAACAAAGTTGACTGAATTCTATGACAACGTAACTAAAGTATTGCAGGAGAAGGAAGGATGGGTGAACTGCGGTTTCCAGGACTGGCGGAGTGTGTCAGTACGTCAACCTTTGTTTGTTTGTTAGAGCGTCGTCCGCAGAGTCTGCTAGAACGTCAGCCAGGGGTTCTGTCCGGTCGTCAGCTAGGGGATCTGTCCGAGCGTCAGCCAGGGGTTCTGTCCGGTCGTCAGCCAGGGGATCTGTCCGAGCGTCAGCTAGGGGTTCTGTCCGGGCGTCAGCTAGGGGATCTGTCCGAGCGTCAGCCAGGGGTTCTGTCCGGTCGTCAGCCAGGGGATTTGTCCGAGCGTCAGCTAGGG